TTCCAGTCACCCGCCTCCACTCCCTTTCTCCCTCATCCTCATCCTCCTGTCCCAGCCACCTGCCCGGGAGCTGCCATGTCTCCATCCCCATCCCATGTCCCTGCCATCCCCCCCCGCCTCGCTCCCTGGCTGTGTTTGGTTTGGCACTGACCGGGCCAGGGCGGGTGTAAATCCCGCCTGGAAACCGGAGCCGGCGGCGGGTGAGGGTCTGGCCAAAGCAAACACCGGGAAGGAGGGGTGTGGTGTGAGTCACCATGGCCCCCCCGCGGCCCCCCCGGCCCCGGCCCACGCTCGCACGCATGCGGGGCCGGCCGGACGCTCCACGCGCCGGGACACACCGGGATGCACCGGGATGCACCGGGATGCACTGGGAACGCGGGCAAGCGGCGGCACGTGTCCTCCGTGGGGCACTGGGCGAGTCGCGGCGGGCGAGGGCGGGCGGCTGCCACCCACAGGCACAGGGTGCCACGGGGACACGCAGCGTCACACGTGGGCATGGGGTGTCACACGCTTGGTGTGGTGCATGCACGGCGTGTCACACCCGTGGGGTGGTGTGTGCACGGCGTGTCACACACACGGTGTGGTGCATGTGCACAGTGTGTCACACCCGTGGGGTGGTGTGTGCACGGCGTGTCACACACACAGTGTGGTGCATGTGCACAGTGTGTCACACCCGTGGGGTGGTGTGTGCACGGCATGTCACATACATGGCGTGTCACGTGTGCACGGTGTGTCACACACATGGCGTGTCACACACATGGCGTGTCACACACACGGCGTGTTGCGTGTGCATGGCGCGTCACACCCGTGGGGCAGTGTGTGCACCGAGTGTTGTTGCACTCTTAGAACGTGTCGTGTGTGCGCAGCCTGTGACGCTCAGAGCGTGCTGTGTTTGCACGGTGTGCCACGCACACGGTGTCTCACACGCACACGGGGTGTCATCACCCCCTCACAGGATGTGTCCCGTATGCACAGCACGTTGCACGCGTACCTGGCGTGTCACACGTGTGCAGCACGTGCGTGGGCACACACCTGTGCACGGACACCCCTGCAGGTGCATCCCACGCGTGTCACACACCTGTGTGGTACCCGGCACGCCCATAGGGTGTCCCGCACCCGTGCACACCTATTGACCCCTGCGTGGTGTCTCCCAGGTGTGGACAGCGTGTCGCACGCCCACGGGGTGTCTCCCAGGTGTGATCACTGTCCGGCACACCCCCAGGGCAGCCGCATCCCACGCGGCGTGGCTCGGCGGGCACAGGGATACCCACCACGACGGGGCCGCTGTGGCCAGAGCCGGGGTGTCCCCGAGGACCCTCGTGCGTCACCGGTGGCCGCTGACGGGGAGCGGTGACGCGCGGGGGCACACGGGGGCTGCCCACGCCGGGAGCCCTGTGGTGCCGAGCCGTGCCAGTGGCCGGACTTTCCCGGGAGGAGCTGCCGGGAAGGCTGGCTCCGGCGTGCCGGGGTGCCAGCTGGCCGGAGCGCGCTGGCCGCGGGCCGTGACCTTTGCGGAGCCGCCGGCGCACGAGGCCGCGGCTCCCGGGCCTCCCTGACGTCAGGCCGATGACGGGGACCCCGCCGGCTCTTTCCGGTGGCTTTGGCAAAGGTCACCCCGCGACCCAGGGCCGTGTCCCACCCCCCTGCATTCCCGGTGGCCCCTGTGCGGGGATCCCTGCTGGGTGCCCAGCCCGCTCCGGCGTTGGCGGTGCCCAAATATATCCCAGGCGTGTGTCCCTGCGGGAATGCCGAGGCCGTGCTGCTCCAGACCATATAAAGGATTGTTGGTGCAGCCACGGGCGGGAGCGCTCGGAGGGGAGCTGGGGGGTCACTGCATGAAGGGGGGGTGTCTCTGCTGCTCCAGGAGGGGGTGCTGAGGTGGGGGTGCCCCCCCTCCCCATGCTGATGCCTCAGTTTCCCCACTCTCAGAGGGGTAACACTGGGATACCCCGCGGGCCCAGCACCGCCCACCCAGAGCCGGGCTGTCCCTGTCACCCGCCCTGAGGTGCCGCGTGTCCCCCGCAGGTGACTCTTGGGGGATCTTCACCTTCCTGTGCGCCGCGCTCTGCAACCTGCCGGCGCTGCCGGCACTGAACTGCTCCGAGGAGTTGGGCGCCGGCCAGTCCATCCAGCAAACCTACGACCTGACCCGCTACCTGGAGCACCAGCTCCGCACCCTCGCCGGCACCTACGTGAGTCCCCGATGTTTATCTCCTCCCCCCCCCTCCCCGCCCCGGGATATCCACCCCGTGCCGAGCCGCTCCTGCGCCGGGGGGCACGGAAATGCCTCATCACCCTCCGGGCGCAGGGCGGCGCCCGGGCCCCCTCCCCTGGCCCATGATTCCATCATGGGTGTGGGCACGGCCTCTCCCTCCCCGCCGGCATTGCCGACTCACGCGGAGGTTCCCCGTCTCTGCCCCGACGTGCCCTCGGTGGTGCCGGTACGGTGGGTGCCAAGCGGTGACAGCGTCACTGCCTGGGATGTGGTGGGAATGTCCCCCTCGGGGATGTGGTGGGATGGGGGGGTGAGATGAAGAGGGGAATGTAGAGAGTGGGGACATGGGCGTGTCTGGGAGATGTGGAGACCTCGGATGTGGTGGACAAATACAGACTTGGGACACTGAGAACTGGGATGGGGGGACGTGGAAAATGGGGATGTGGTGGGTACGTCCACCTGGGGGACGTGGGACATGGGCAGAGGGACGAGGAGATTGGGGACATGGTGTGCAGGGGGACACAGAGACTTGCAAAGAGGGGGACAGGGAGACCTGGGACATGCTGGGTGTGTCAGCCCGGGGGTCATGGAAACATGGAGACAGGGGACGTGGTGTGCAGGGGGACACGGAGGCCTGGGAAAAAGTGGACGTGGAGACTGGGAGCGGGGTGGGCACGTCCCCCTGGGGGACAGGGAGACCTGGAGCCCGGTGATCATGGAGACCTGGGGGACATGGAGGCTGGGGACAGGGTGAACACGGAGACCGAGGCCATGAAAGGGAAAGGGGCACAGTGGGCGTGTCTACCCGGGGGACAGTGAAACCCGGGATGGGGGGGACATGGAGACCTGGGCCATGCTGGGTGTGTGCACCCACGGGGTGTGGGTGTCTGGGACGTGGTGATCCCGGGGACTTGGGACATGGCAGGCGGGAGTGCACGGACCCCAGCGCCACACCACCCCCGATGCCCGACGCCCCCCGTTCCCTTCCAGCTGAACTACCTGGGGCCCCCCTTCAATGAGCCCGACTTCAACCCCCCGCGCCTGGCGCGCGCCGAGCGGGTGCCCAGCGCCACGGTGGACCTGGACCTGTGGAGGGGGCTGACGGACAACGCCCGCCTGGCCGCCAACTACCGCGCCTACAGCCGCCTGCTGTGCTACCTGCGCGTGCTGGACGGGCAGGTGGGCACGGCCGAGCTGCGCCACCGCCTCGCCCACTTCTGCGCCAGCCTCCAGGGGCTGGTGCTCAGCATCGGCGGCGTCATGTCCTCCCTGGGGTACCCGCTGCCCGCCGGCCCCGCTGGGCCCCCCGCCGGGCCCCCCGGGGCCCCCCCGGCCCCCAACGACTTCCTGAAGAAGATGGACGACTTCTGGCTGCTCAAGGAGCTGCAGACCTGGCTCTGGCGCTCGGCCAAGGACTTCAACCGCCTCAAGAAGAAGGTGCCGCCCGCCGTGGTCACCCTGCGGCTGGAGGCCAGGGGGTTCTGAGCGCCCCGCCCGTGCCCCCGCCCGCCTCGCGCCGGTGGGACCCGGACGGGGCTCCTCACCCAGGTGCCCTCTCCACCACCAGTGTGCCTTGAGCAGCGGGGCTCCTGACCCCAAAGTGCCACCAAAGCCACCCCACAGCCCCTCTGTCACCACAGTGTGCTGTAAGGGATGAGTCTCCTGACCCCAAGTGCCACCAAAGCCACCCCATGTTCCCTTTCCACCAACAGTGTGCCTTGAGAAATGGGGCTTTTGACACCGAAGTGCCACCAAACCCACCCCACATCCGCTCTGTCACCACACTGTGTCTTAAGGGCAGGTCTCCTGATCCCAAAGTGTCACCGAAGCCACCCCACAGCCCCTCCCTCATCATACGGCGTCTTAAAGGGGCAGGGCTCCTTACCCCAAATGCCACCACAGCCATGCCATGTCCCCTCTCCACCACCAGTGTGCCTTGAGAGATCCCAAAGAGCCACCTCACAGCCCCTCTGTCACCACACTGTGCCTTAAGGGACGGGTCCCCTGACCCCCAAGTGCCCCCCCAGGGTGTCCCCACCCCTCCGGGGTGCCCCATCCCTCCACCCCAAGAGATCCACGTGGGTACAAGCCCCGCCCACCTCGAAAAGGACCAAGCCCCTCTGAGCATAGGAATAAGCCCCGCCCCATCCAGCAGCAAGCCCCGCCCCTGGAGCAATAGGCTCCACCCCTGGATGGCAATAAGCCCCGCCCACTAGCCTGTGTAGCCAACCCCGCCTCCTCCCCGCAACAGGCCACGCCCCATTTTAACCAAGCCCCGCCTCCCAGTGCCCATCAATGCAGAGCTGGGGGCGTGGCCTGGATCCAGGGGCGGGGCCGCTGTCCTGGTGCGTCTATGAGTGTTTATTTATTGGAGATGTTTTATTTATTGGGGTATTTATTGCAGAAGATCTATTCTTGTATGAACGAATAAAAACCTTTCTCCAGCGCCCCCGCCCCGCCCGCACCCCACCCCCAGGGGGGGCCGTCAGTAGGGATGGGGGTGAACAGATCCAAACCTGAGCTCAGAGGGGAATCAGGGTGTTCCCCCCTGTGCCATCAGCAGGGACCGGGGTGAACTGCTCCAGGCTCCGAGCTCAGTAGGGACCAGAGAGAGCAGCTCCTCCCCGAGCTCAGTGTGGCGGTCAGGCTGTTCCCCTCTGGACGGTGGTTCCTGGGGTAGGGATCCAGTCCCCTCCCAGGCCCAGGTTACCCCACCCCGAGCACATCCACCCCCTCCCCGGGCGCTACTTGGGTGTCCCCACGATGACGTGGCACATCCACCCCCTCCCCGGGCGCTACTTGGGTGTCCCCACGATGACGTGGAAGGTTCCGGGCTGTGTGACGAAGCCGATGGCGCCCAGGGCGCTGAGCGCGGCCCTGTTGTGGGGCAGCACGGTGCAGTAGATGGGGAAGCCGCGGGCGTGCAGCCCCCGGCCCATGGCGGCCATGGTGAGGCCGGTGAGGCCGCGGCCGCGCCAGGCAGGCACCGTGTAGCCGTGGCGCAGGCAGCCCTGGGCGTCCAGCAGGGTCCAGGACACGGGGCGGCCGCGCGGGCCCAGCAGGCAGGCGGAGGGCAGCGCCCGCACCAGCCCCAGCAGGAAGGCCCGGCTGCGGGCGTTACCACCCAGGGCCCACGTGGCGTTGAGCAGCGGGACGTGGGACGGGGACACGGGCGCCAGGCGCAGGCCCGGGGGCAACCTGCGAGGGGGCATGGCAGGAGTGGGGAATGCCGAACCCCACGGCTGCAAGGGATGGCGGCTGGGATGGGGCTGGGGTCCCCTGTGCCACCCGGGGGTGGGAATGGGGGTGCCTGTGTCACCCAGGGATGTGCTCAGGGACCCCTGTGCCACCCAGGGATGTGCTCGTGGACCTCTTGTGCCACCCAGGGATGTGCTTGTGGACTCCTGTGTCACCCAGGGATGTGCTCAGGGATCCCTCTGCCACCCAGGGATGTGCTTGAGGACCCCTTGTGCCACGCAGGGATGGGATTGGGGATGCCAGTGTCACCCAGGGTTGTGCTCGGGGAACTCCTGTGCCGTGCAGGAATGGGATTGGGAACCCTTGTGCCACCCAGGAATGTGCTCGTGAACCCCTGTGCCACCCAGGAGCGTGCTCAGGGACCACCCATGTCACCCAGGGATGTGACTGGGGACCCCTGTGCCACCCAGGGATGTGACTGGCCCCCCGATGCCCCTGTGTCCCTGGTGCTCCCATGTCCCCAGTGCCCCATTGCACTCCAGTGCCCCCACACCCCCCGGTGACCCTGGCGTCCCTGTACCCTGGGTGCCCTCACTCACTGCCCACGGGGTCGGGGGGGCTCAGGGCTCATCAGTCCCAGGTACCGGATGGTCTCCACGTGCAGCCCCTTGGCACCGGCCGCCTCCCGCACAGCCTCATCCAGCCCCTCCTGCAGCCCTGGGACAGCCTGTCAGCCGGGCAGGGGACAGCAGGTGGTGTCCCCGTGTCCCTCCCAGGGCCATCCTTACCCAGTATCTGGAAGGCTCGTGCCTGGACCACCGCCTCGGTGCCCCCCAGAAGCGCCTGCAGGGCCCCCTTGTCCCGATAGAACACGGCCAGTTGGTTGGTGTAGTGATCCCTGGGGTCCTTGTGCTCCTGGAGGGCGGACAGGGGAGCTGAGGGTGGCACCCCAATTCCCAGCCCCCCGGGGTGTGGGGTGCTGCCAGGGCGGGGGCACACGGGGCAGCACCTCTGGGCGCAGGCGGGTCAGGACGATGCCAAAATCGGGCCAGGAGTCCACCAGCACCTCGTGGGCGGCTGGGTTCCCCCGGGCCACCGTCATCACAGTCCCCAGGACCTGCAGGACAAGGTCCCTGTCACCGGCAGGGAAGGGGAGAGGGGACAAGGGGGTTCCCAGTCCCCGGTGTCTCTGTCACCAGCAGGGCAGAGGGAGCTGTGGTGTCCCCCGGGGTGTCTGTCAGTGGCAGGGCAGGGGAGAGGGGACAGAGAGGACACGAGGTTCTTGTCACCAGCAGGGCAGGCAGAAGGGTTCCTGGGGACCCCATCACTGGCAGGAGAGGTGACAGAGGGGTCCCCAGAGTCCCTGTGACCAGAAAGGTGGAGGGGGAGGCAGAGGGGCTCCTGGCAAGGAGGGGAGGGGACAGAGGAGTCCTCGGGAACTCTGTTACCCACAGGACAGGGCAGAGGGGACAGAGAGGTCCCTGGAGTCCTTGTCACTGGAAGAACAGGGCAGAGGGGACAGAGGGGTTCCCAGGGTCCCCATCACTGGCAGAACAGGGGGAGGGGACAGAGGGGTCCCTGCGATCCCTGTCACTGGCAAGGCAGGGGGGACAGGGGGGTCCCTGGGGTCCCTGTCACCGGCAGGGTGGTGGGCAGGCTCTTCCGCAGGGTCTCCTCCAGAAGCCGCAGCTGGGCTGGGCACCTCAGGATCTGCATGGCACCGAGACCGTGGGGCAGGTGGTGGCACCGAGGATCCCTGGGGCTCTGGTGGCACGGGGGGCAGAATGTCCCGGGTGAGCACCCATCCCCAGGCGGCCCCAGGGCTGGCCCCGTGCCCAGTGCCCAGCAGGATGGACCCTGCCCGATGCCTCCCAAGGCAGGGGGCACTCGCTGGCCCGTGACGGCTCGTGGTGGCCCTGGGACCCGCTATTGTCACCACCCGCCACACGGTCTCCAGGCTCCCGCTCCGCAGCTCCAGGACTGTTGCAGGGTGAGTGCTGGAGGGGCTGGGGACCACGCGGGGCTGGGGAAGGGGACAGGGCTGGGGGCCACGCCTGGGGGTCCTGTCCCTCTGTTATCAGGGGTCTCTTGGCAGGACCATGCAGATCCTGACGAGCCCAGCCCAGCTGCAGCGCCTGGAGGGCATCCTGAAGAAGAGCCTGCCCCTCGCCCTGCCGGTGACCGGGACCCTGCTGTCACCCCTGCCCTGTGCCATCCCTGCCCTGTGCCACGATGAGGACCCCAATGCCACGCTGCCCTGCCAGTGATGGCACCCCACTATTCACCCCTGCACCAGGGACCCCGGTGTCACCCCTGCACCCTGCTGTGACTGGGACCCCAGTGTCACTCATCTCTCGCCGTGATGGGGACCCCAGTGTCACCCCTGTCCCTTGCCCTGCTGGTGACAGGGACTCCCTGTCTCTTGCCTGAGCGGGACCCCCGTGGCACCTCCCCACTCTCACCCCCCCAGGCCCAGGGACCCCCATGTCACACCCCAGTGATGGGGACCCCCATGTCACCAGGAGCCCTTGTGTCACCCTGCCCCCTGCACCTGCCCCCCTTCCCCTCAGCTCTGACCCCACCCACATCTGCCCCCTCAGCTCTGACCCCGCCCACATCTGCCCCCATAAATCCCCAGTTCCAGCCCCACATCTGCCCCCATAACCCCCCCAGCTCTGACCCCCCCATCTGCCCCTGTGCCGCCCAGCTTTGACCACACATGTGCCCCCCACCCCTGACCCCCGCTGTCCCCCAGGTGTACGGGGCAGTGCTGAACATAACCCGGGGGAACCCGGGCGACTTCGAGGTGCTGGTGGACAAGTGGCCCGATTTCGGCGCCGTGCTGGCCCGTCCCAGAGGAGAGGTGGCCCGTGGGGACATGGGGCACTGCAGGGAAAGGGGGGGATGGCACGGTGCCCTGGTGTGCTCAGGGCACCCCTGGGTGCCCCCAGGTGCCAGTGAACGACAGCTACTGGAACACGCAGACAGCGTTCTACCGGGATTTGGGGGCGTACCGGGCGCTGCTGGAGACCCCCGGGTGCCAGCGCTGGGACGCTGCCTTCATCATCATCGGTGGCCTGGGGGCAGGGGGGTGCTGGGGGGCACTGGGGGGCACTGGGGGGCACTGGGGGCACGGCTCGGTGTGCCGGGGTGGGCGTTGATGGGTGCTATCAATGGGAAGTATTGGGACTGAATTTAGGGGCGCTGGAGGCTACTGGGGCTGGGATTGGGGTGCTGGGTACACGGGGAGCAGGGTACTGGGGAGCTCTGGGGAGTACTGGGGTTGAACTTGGGGGTGTTGGGGGCAGAGGAGCATCGTGATTGGATTGGGGAGAGCCAGGGGGCACTGGGGGCAGCAATTGGGGTGCTGGGCACACTGGGGATGCAGTCCTGGGGGACATGGGGAGTATTGTGGTGGGATGTGGGGGTCTGAGGAGCACTGTGGTTGGACTTAGGGGTGCTGGGTGGCACATGGTGGTTGGATTTGAGGGGGTACTGGGGGGCTGTGGTTGGACTTGGGGGTGCTAGGCACACTGGGGACAGGGATTGGGGTGCTGGGGATAGAGACCGGGATTGCAGGTATCCCCTGGGGACACTGAGGACACTGGGCTCACACAGAGGGGGCTGGAGGCAGAAATGGGGCTGCTGGGGGAGCGGGACCGCCTGACATCACCATCCCCAGGGCTACAGGACGGGGTGACCACGGTGTCGCAGGACCTGGCGAGGGCCAAAGGCGTGGAGCTGGACATCACCGAGTACTACACCTACATGCACCCCAACCCCAGCACCATGCCCGAGCCCCGGTGAGACCCCCCGCGCCCCCTCCCCGCACAGGCACCCCCGAGCCCCCCCACTAACCCCCAGGTCCCCCAGGCTGGACCCCGGCGTGCGGCTGGGCTCCCTGCTCCCCTCGCACGTGGACCTGCTGAACGAGACGTGGCCCTACGGGGGCAACGCCCGCAGCCGGCGCTACCTGGCCAAGCTTTTGGGGCGCTTCCCCCACGTGTGCGTGCAGGACGGCGCCGGGGAGCCCCTCAGCTGGGTGCTGACCGACCATTTCGGGACTGGCGCCCACGGCTTCACGCTGCCCGCGCACCGCCGGCGCGGCCACATGCGGGTGGCACTGACGGTGGCGGCGCGGCGGGCGCAGGCCAGGGGGTTCCCCACTTATGGGCACACGGCGGTGCAGAACGGGCCCATGCAGCAGCTGCAGGAGCTGCTGGGCCACCAGCGCCTGCCCGGCATCTGCCGCTACATCCTGCACAACCCCGCCATGGATAAGGACGGGCCCTGAAGCCCCGCCGGCCCCTGCCCGGGGCGGGGGTGTCACCGACCCGCAGGACAGGGGAGAAAAGCCAGCCCCGAATTAAAGAGTGTTGTGGGGTCTCTGATGGCTGCTGTGGGGTTGTGTCTCCCTCCAGCACTGACCGTTGCAGCGGTGACACGGTTTGGTGGCTCTCGTGTCACCTCCCCTGGGAGACACCCCGTTACAGGACACGGATCTCAGCTATTCTCGGCCCCCCCAGGGAGGGCCTCAGGCAAATGGTGGCACCTGCAGTGTCACCCCCCCCATGGGATGGTGTCACCAACAGCGGGGGGTGGGATGGGCAGGCACAGCAGCTGTGGGTCACAGCCTGGGCTTCCTGGTGGGGACAGACAGTGACACACAGGACACAAGGTGACGGTGTCACGGAGTGAGTCAAGGCACGGGGGGGTGACAGGGACTGATGGGGGTGACAGTGCCTGGGGTGATGGGGAGTGCTGGGATCTGGGTGACAATGTCCAGGGGCACAGCGAGGGCCTGGGGGTGGTAGGGACAGATGGGGAGGTGACAGTGTCCAGAGTGACGGGGAATGCAGGGGTGGGGTGACTGTGCCTGGGGTGACAGGGACCACCGGGACAGAGGTGCCAGCACCTGTGGGTGACAGAGAGAGCCACAGGGGTGACAGTGCCTGGGGAAATCTGGGGGAGCGACACTGTACAGGGTGTCGGGGACTGCCATGGGGTGACAGTACCCAGGGTGACAGTGTCTGGGGTGATGGGGACCACCAGGATAGAGGGGCGACAGTGCCTGGGGTGACAAGGTCTGTAACGGGACAGTGTGTGGGGGTGGTGGGGCCAACTGGGGGTGACAACAGTGCCCGGGGACAGCCGGGCAGTGCCGGGGACAGCCGTGGTGGGGTGTCAGCGCCCAGGCGGGCGGGGGACCGGGACCCCGCGGGGGTGACGGTGCCCGGGCGTTCCGGGGGCGGCCCTGGCCGGTCCCCCAGCGCGGCCCCGCCGCTTCCGCCCGGGCCCGGCCGGTCAGGGGCGGGTCCCTGCGGGTTCCCGGTATGGGCGGGTCCCGCCCCGTTCCCGGTATCGCCGGGGCCGCCGCCAGCTCCATGTCGCGCAGGGCCATGGGGCAGCCCCGGCGCATCACCGACTCCTTCCCGCGGCGGCGGCGGCGGGGCCCGGGGCGACCCCCGGGCAGGCTCAAGGACAAGGACAAGGACAAGGAGGAGGCGCAAGGGAAGGCGAAGGTGCGGGACCGCCCCCGCGCCGCCCCGCAGCCCCCGCCGGACCCGGCGCTCCTGGAGATGCTGCGGCGCTTCGACCTGTGCTGGGAGTATGGACCCTGCACCGGTGAGCACCCCCGGTGTCCCCCCCGGTGTCCCCCGGGCCGCCCCGGCCCCGCTGACCGCGCTGTCCCGCAGGGATCACCCGCCTGCAGCGCTGGGAGCGGGCGCAGGCGCTGGGGCTGAGCCCCCCCGGCCCCATCCGGGACGCGCTCCTGGAGCACCGCGACAACCCCGATGTCACCTACAGGTGGGTGCGGGACGGGCGGGGGGCGCGGGGCACCCCCTCCGCCGGTGCCCCCCGCCCCGCCCGGGGGCCGCTGACCCCCGTTTTGCCCCCACAGCCTCTGGCACGAGTACGAGCTCTGAGTCGCTGCGCCGAGGGAGGAGAGGGGGGGCCGTGCCCGCCGCCCCCCGGCCCCCATCGCGGGCGTGCTGTGTGCTGTCGGGCTGGGGTGAAGCCCCTTGGGGCGCTGGGGGAGGGCGGGGGGTTGTACCCCTTCCAAAATAGCCAGGCAGGGTGTCCAGTTGCCGGGACCCCCTTCCGTTTCCATCCTCATTTCGGGGGTGCCCCGGCCCCCCACGAGCCCCCCGCACCCCACAGAGGGTCCTGATCCACAGCGAGGGGCTCAGCTGTCCCCCATCCTAGGTAACCACATCAGGAATCCCACAGGAAGTTGACGTTGCCTAGGTAGCCAGAGCAAAAACATGGAATTTGGCGGTGGGTGGAACCAGACTGGGACCCCGGGGGAAAAAAAAAAAAAATCAGCTATCAGGTTGGAGAAAGGGAGGTGGAAGCGTAGCAAAAAAAGTCCGAAAATGGGAAAAAAATTAAGGATTAAGTAAGAATGAGCTCAGGGAGGGTATTATGAAACTAGGGATGCAGGTGACTAGGGATTGTGCTGCTGTTGTCACACTGTCTGGCAGTAGGGAGGGAAGAGTGGACAATGTCCCGCGAGATTCATACAATTGAGAGCCTTAAATAGCAGCTTTGATGTGTGCTGTCATAAAGTAATAATGGGGATGTGTTTGTTAATTATTCAGTTTATTGGCGACTTTATTCATCAGCTCTTTCTGTTGCTTAACCAATAAAATTGTTTGTTTCTATACCAAGCCTGCAATGGAGTGTCGGAGTCGGGAGTAACCCGGGATAGGGTGGAACGGGGTGGGACGGGTGGGGGGCCATGGTGGGGGGACGGGACGCCACGACGGGGGGTGCGCCTGGCCTGGGGAGCTGCGGCCTCCCTGCCTCGCTTCACTGTCCCGCTGCCGGGCCCCGGGACTGCCCTGATCCCGACTCCGGCCCCAATTCCAGCCCTAATTCGATCCCCGATTCCAGTCCGAACTCCAGCCCCGGGCCTAGGCCGCTGCGGTTGCCATGGCAACCCGGAAGTGGAGACCCCGCGCGCGGCGATCCGCGGCACAACCCGGCACAGCTGAGCCAGCCCCCCGCACCGGCCTTGACCAATCAGGCGTCACGGCGCCTCCGCCAATGGCGAGCCGGGCGGGCGTACATAAACACCAGGCCTGAAGCGGCAGCTGTGGCCGGTTGCGTGTGCGGGCTGAGGGTGCGGCCCCGCTGCTGCCCGGACCGCGGAGGTGAGAGTGTGTTTTCCTCTGGGTTTATGGACTAGGGGAGCTGGGGGGCGTTTAGGTGCGCGTTGTGCTGGGTGGCGAGGGCTGAGTAAGCCCGTTACCTGCCGGGAAACCCCGGGGGAAGCTGTACCGGGGCTGCGTGGCTGGTGCTCTCTGGGTGTATCGGGTTTCCCTTTGGAACCCCAAAGCCTCTCCCTATGCAGGGTTATGAGGCAAAGACTGCTTTAAGTTGGTTTTTTGTGCTGCGTTAATGCTTTTTGCTCGTTCTGTGTCCATTTGCAGCCTCGCTCGTGGTTTCCCCTGGTGCGGAGGCGAGTTGTGCTTCCTGCGGGGAGAGAGAAGGGCCTTGGGAAGCTGCTCCATGAGCCACAGCTGTGCCGAGCCCGGCAGTCTGTCCAGGTAAGAGCAGGGCTTATACTGCCAGGGAGGAGCTGGGTTTGCTGTTGGCAGATAGAATATGCCCGTGCCTTTAAATGCAAGGACAGGCAGAAGCGGGGAGGGACCCTGAGCAGGTTTGGTGGCACGACAGCAGTTTGAAAAGACCTTGAGTGCTGGAGAAATGTCCAGGAAAAATGATTCCTGTTTTGCAAGGAGGCAGTCTGCAAGGACGGGGTGGTTGCTGTGCTCTCTAGCAAAAATACTGCCCTTGGGATGTGCAGGGTGAGGAAATGTTGGCCCCGTGTGGGCTGGAGCAAAGGTGTGTGGGTGCCTGTGTGTGACAGCCGTGGGTGTGCAGGAAGGGGGTTCTGGTGCCATTGGAGCTGCCAGGGAGCCAAAAAGGGCACAGTTGTCTGAAAAAGGCAAGAGCTCTGTTAGCCTCTGTTGACAACTGTACCAAAGAAGATGCAAATTTTCCCCTTCTTAGTTACACAAAGCTCCCAGCAAAGGAAGCTTTAGATTGTAACTCAGCTTTATGCTAAAGGTTTCCTTGCTCTCTCAGCAGGATGTCGAGTGCCACCGTGTCCCTGAGGTCACCCTTTCTCCTGCTGGGAGAGCACGAGGTGGATGGAGAGGATCCCCAGGCATCTGCAGGCACAAGGGACTCGTACAGCTGTGATTTTCCTCCAGCCCTCGTGAGAGGGACTTTCAGGGTACCATGGGTCATGTGCCAGCTCTCCTGCTGGAGCTTTTGTCTGCTGTATTTGAACACAAAGAGTAGAACTAAAGTCAGGTCTGTTCTGCAGTGTGTTACACTTGTGCAAAGCTCCTTCCTTCTGTTTATTTTCTGTTCAGGAAAGTGCAGTCTGGGCTTCCTGGGCACTTCCTATTAAGTGATACCATGAAAATAATTTTGTACTGAAAGGAGAAAGGAGCTGTCTCTTTGAGGTCAGATGTCCCTGATAAAAACTTTGTTTTTCACTCAGTAAGCTCTTAAAATATCTTACAGTGTGTAGGAGTGCCTGGTTTCTAAAACTCACCAGCTGAGCCTTAGAGGTTTCTCTGAAGAGCTGATTTTAGGCAGCAGAATTGCCCCCCAGGAGGGACTCTGTGCCTGCTCTCCCGTGGCTCCAAGGGATCTCTGGCCCTTCACGCCGGCACCGAGATTTTCTCGGGACGGGCCTCAGATCCCCGGACCAGTCTGGGACACAGGCAAGATCCCCCTGCAGTTTAGGACCAACTTGGCCCCCTGGAGGGACAGTGCTGTGGGTGCCCCCCGGGTTGGGGCACCCCGAGGACTCCAGCGCGCACCGAAAGGATTCTTCGGGGAGATCCTCGGGGTGCCCGGCCCTGGGGAGCTCAAAGCAAGGTCCCTGCCATGGATTCAGGCATTGCTGAGAGTATCCCAGGGGTCCCTGTCCCTGCTAGACATGGAGCTCTCTAATGGGCTGCAATTGGGTGATAAAAGTGGTGCTCCAGGTGCCAAAGAAGTGTGGGATTGGGATTAAGAAATCAGCAGTGAGGGTCCAATTGGCTGTTTTTTCTTGAATGTGACTGTGAGAGCTGCAGGAGTGCCAGGTGTGTGTTCCAGTCCCCAGCATTTGGTTTGCACATGTCCTGGTCAGACACAGGTCCAACTTGCTCAGTCCTTAACCCAAGAGAGGGAGAATGAAGGACTGGCAGTGTTCAGGTGTTTGGTGTGTCATGGGTTAAACTGGGAAAACACTGGGTAATTCCTCATTGCTCTATTTTCCAAACTCACCCAAACCTGTGCCAGGAAAAGATTGGGAAAGTTGAGGCAGAAATGAAATTGAAAACTGGGGCTATTGACACTGTAATTGGTGAAACTAAATGTGTCCAAGCAGCAGCTCTTGCTTTGCAGGGAATAACTCCTGTCAGCAGCAAGGCCCCGACTGAAGTGGCAGCTGCAGTTGTTCCTGTGGTGTGGGCCAGTGGAACTGCAGGAGAGTGGAAGAGGGCAGATCCTGTAGGAATTACCCCTAAGCCAGAGTCTGTACTGGTAAGGCAAAGTCAGTATCCTTTAAAATTAGGAAGCCAAGCTGGATTGGTTCCAGTAATAGCTAAATTTGCTAATCATGGTTTGCTTGTAGAATGTGAATGCAAGGACCTGTAGAGAAAGCAAATGACAAAGATGATTGATTGCTGGGAGCAGGGGCTGGCAGACAGTGGCACTGGATGTTTGGTTGTGGTGGGGAATAAGCAGCTTGACCTGCCCAGGGTTGTCTGTGCTGGGGGTGGGTTTGGGTCCTGTGTGGCCACAGGTCTGTGCAGCAGCTGGAGCCTGGGCAGGTTTGGGGGCTGTGGTGTGCCAGGCTGCTGAGTGTGTTGTCCCTGTTTCCTTTCAGTGTCCCAGTGTCCCTGCTTGGCTGTTTGTTGCCCTGCAGGCAGAAGAGCCCAGGCCTGAGATGGCTGAGTGTTGGTGTGAGCCACAGTGGGTGTCCCTGCCCTCGGGACAGTCCCCAGAGCTGCCTTTGGCATCCCCTGCTGAAGGGTGGGAGCTGCCCAGAGCCAGCAGCATCCAGCTGGAGGATCCAGGAGGATGCAGCTCCTGTTGTCTGGGAGGTAAGAGGTGGGGTGCAGGAGCTGGCAGGAGTGTTTTGCAGGCAGAGGGAGGGCAGGAGCAGGAGAATTGCAGGTGCAGCAGCTGGGTCAGTGCTGGATGGAGTCAGGCTGGGAAAGGGCCCTGAGTGTCAGGGCAGGGGAGAGCCCAGGGTGGCCCTGGGAGCCCTGGGGCTGTGACCAAGTGCAGTGGGCAAAGGAATGGGCACTGGAGAGCTGGGCAAACAGCTGGAGGAGTTGCAAGGAGAGTTGCAGTATCCTGGCAAGGAGTTGCCAGTATCCTTTAAAATCAGAATGGCAGCTTGGATTGGTTGCAGGAACAGCTGAATTTGCTCCTCCTGGTTTGCTTGTAGAAGGTGAATGCAAGAACCTGCCAAGAAAACCAATGGCCAAGGGGATTGTTTAATGCAGGACCTGAGAGAAGCCCCTGAAATGACAACCTGGAGTAGTTTCCAGGATTAGATTGCAAAGATGGCCTTTGCTGCATGTCCTTGAGCAAGGAAAGCCAAGAAACCTTTGCTTTTGCAGGAGAAAATCTGGACTGTGAGAAGGAAGCAAAGAAGCCCTGTGACTCCTCCCTGAGCCCCAGCCAGCCCCTGAACTGCCTCCCTGGGAATGGTGGGACGGGCTGGACTCTGGATTGCTCCCTCTGCATGTGTGGTAAGACTGTTATGGCAACTTTTCCAACAGCCTGTAAGCATTTGCTGCCTTGGCTAGATGGTGCAAGGGCAGCCTTTAAGCAGCTGAAGCCTTCCCTGAGGAGAGCTCTGGGTCTGCCAGATGTGTCAGAAGTGTTGGCAGCATCTTTGGGGGGGAGGGCAAAGAAAGGCCAAGGTGTGCAGTGACCCCCTGAGAAGGGACTTTGAGTTAATGGCATCCCTGCAAGTGAACTTTGTGGGCTGTTCCCCTGTAGGGCAGGTGACAGTCCCAGCTACAGTGATGGGAAAAATGGTTAAAAGAGAGCCCCAAAAGCTGGAAATCCTGCTGGAGGCTCTTGGCAAAGAGAGTTTTCAGCGTTTTGCCCTGAAAGAAGGACAGTGATAGCTTTTGAGTGCTGGTAGATCCTTTGAATAGACAGCCTTGAGTGTGTCCTTGTTGCCCCAGTAGGCCTTGTCCAACTCCCCATCTTCCAGGAGATATACATATTGAAGTTTGAAATGCTCTTCCTAATCCTTTGTTGTCTTGAGGCTCTCCCCTCAGGAACTGCAGGAACTCCTGGTGCCGCCTGGGCCGATGGATTGGACGCCCCAGCCCCTCCGTTCCTGCCCAGCCCCTGGGGCCGTGTCCAGTGGTGGCACTGCCAGCCCTGCAGGGGAAGTGGGAAGGGCCTTTCCAGGTCTTGTGGGTCACATTTATAGCAGGTAAAGTTGGAGTAAAAGGACCTGGGGTCTGTTATTCTTGAGTTCAGAAAGCTGCTTTTGATTGGTGAGCAGAACCAAGTGGATCCTTCAGAGTTCCCATCCGTGTTTGTGTCTCAGCCTGTGTTAGGATTCAGGGCTGTCAGTTGTTGTCACTGAGGAGTCAAACTATGCTTTAAATAAGGAGACACTGGCCTGGTGGCCAAGTCTAAAAAAAAAAGGTGGAATGATATGTGAGTGAGATGTAACAAGAGCTAATCCTTTTTGCAGTGGGATGTAACCTGGAAACTGCAGAGAGCTGAGCCAAGGGATTGAAAGGGACCAAGCAAGGGAGGTGAAGAAAGAAGGAAGAAGGGAAGTGAGGCATCAGCCAAGCAGCACCAGGTTCCTGTGTAAGCAGGTGAGTTGTGTTGAGGTTCCTGAGGCAGGCCCTGAGGACTTTGAGGGTTCCAGACAGAGCAGACCTGGGAAGCCCCTCAGTGAAGCCACTCAGAAACCTGAAGCCCCTGGGCCTTTTTGGGAGCCTGAGCTATTGCAGCCCTGGGGATGGCTTTGGTTTTTTTCTCTCCTCAGAGTTGAACTGTATGGGGAGTCTGTGATCTCCCTGATTTTTGTATCATAACTGAAACTTGGAAGAAAGTTGACCTTTCCCAACTGACTTGGCCGGGTTGAACCAGCAGTGCCAGATTGTTGTGGTGTGCAGGGTATTGTTTGTGTCTGAGCAGTTTGGGGTTGATTTGCCAAGGGAGGCCATGGAATGTTATGGTATTTTTGTCCCAATATTTGTAGGCAGTGCCCTGAATTAGTTGATTTCTGCCTCACTCCCTGATGTCTGAGTTTGGAGATGTACCAAGAACTGGTAGTTTTTGCAGTGGGATGTTCCCTAGAAACTGCATGGAGCTGAGCCAAGGAACTTAAAGGGACTGAGCAAGCAAAGTCAAGAAAGAAAGAAGAAGGGAACTGAGGCAGCAGCCAAGCAGCCCCAAATTCCTCCACAACCAAGTGAGTTGTGTTGAAGTTGCTAAGGTGGTCACTGAGAACTTTGGGGGCTGCAGGCACAGGTGACCACCAGAGACCCCTGATTGAGCCTTTCGTAGATTTACAAAGCTTTGTGTATATGGGAACAGGTGTTGGGAATGTCTTGAAAGTGGAACAGGAATGCAGGGAAGGAAAATGAGCCCTCCTGTAATGGTGACCCCTCCCATGAGCTGCAGTGGAGACCCCTCCGTGTGCCCTTTGGGAGCTGATTGCCAGGACCCCCGTGGGGCTGGGATCATGGCAGGGTGTTGTAAGCAAGGAATACCTGGCTTCTAAAACTCATAAATTGAGTCTTAAAATGCCTCTTTGAAGAGCTGATTTGAGGCAGCAGAATTGCCCCCCAGGAGGGACTCTGTGCCTGCTCTCCCGTGGCTCCAAGGGATCTCTGGCCCTTCACGCCGGCACCGAGATTTTCTCGGGAAGGGCCTCAGATCCCCGGACCAGTCTGGGACACAGGCAAGATCCCCCTGCAGTTTAGGACCAACTTGGCCCCCTGGAGGGACAGTGCTGTGGGTGCCCCCCGGGTTGGGGCACCCCGAGGACTCCAGCGCGCACCGAAAGGATTCTTCGGGGAGATCCTCGGGGTGCCCGGCCCTGGGGAGCTCAAAGCAAGGTCCCTGCCATGGATTCAGGCATTGCTGAGAGTATCCCAGGGGTCCCTGTCCCTGCTAGACATGGAGCTCTCTAATGGGCTGGAATTGGGTGATAAAAGTGGTGCTCCAAGTGCCAAAGAAGTGTGGGATGGGGATTAAGAAATGAGCAGTGAGGGTCCAATTGGCTGTTTTCTCTGGAATGTGACTGTGAGAGCTGCAGGAGTGCCAGGTGTGTGTTCCAGTCCCCAGCATTTGGTTTGCACATGTCCTGCTCAGACACAGGTCCAACTTCCTCAGTCCTTAACCCAAGAGAGGGAGAATGAAGGACTGGCAGTGTTCAGGTGATTGGTGTGACAGGGGTTAAACTGGGAAAACATTGGGTAATTCCTCATTTCGCTATTTGCCAAACTCACCCAAACCTGTGCTAGGAGAAGATTGGGAAAGTTGAGGCAGAAATGAAATTGAAAACTGGGGCTATTGACACTGTAATTGCTGAAACTCAATGTGTCCAAGCAGCAGCTCTTGCTTTGCAGGGAATAACTCCTGTCAGCAGCAAGGTCCCGACTGAAGTGGCAGCAGCAGTTGTTCCTGTGGTGTGGGCCAGTGGAACTGCAGGAGAGTGGAAGAGGGCAGAACCTGTAGGAATTACCCCTAAGCCAGAGTCTGTACTGGTAAGGCAAAGTCAGTATCCTTTAAAATTAGGAAGCCAAGCTGGATTGGTTCCAGGTAAGAGCCGAGTTTGCTCCTCATGGTTTGATAGTAGAATGTGAATGCAAGGACCTGTAGGGAAAGCAAATGACAAAGATGATTGATTGCTGGGAGCAGGGGCTGACAGACAGTGGCACTGGATGTTTGGTTGTGGTGGGGAATGAGCAGCTTGACCTGCCCAGGGTTGTCTGTGCTGGGGGTGGGTTTGGGTCCTGTGTGGCCACAGGTCTGTGCAGCAGCTGGAGCCTGGGCAGGTTTGGGGGCTGTGGTGTCCCAGGCTCCTGAGTTTGTTGTCCCTGTTTCCTTGGAGTGTCCCAGTGTCCCTGCTTGGCTGTTTGTTGCCCTGCAGGCAGAAGAGCCCAGGCCTGAGATGGCTGAGTGTTGGTGTGAGCCACAGTGGGTGTCCCTGCCCTGGGGACAGTCCCCAGAGCTGCCTTTGGCATCCCCTGCTGAAGGGTGGGAGCTGCCCAGAGCCAGCAGCATCCAGCTGGAGGATCCAGGAGGATGCAGCTCCTGTTGTCTGGGAGGTAAGAGGTGGGGTGCAGGAGCTGGCAGGAGTGTTCTGCAGGCAGAGGGAGGGCAGGAGCAGGAGAATTGCAGTTCCAGCAGCTGGGTCAGTGCTGGATGGAGTCGGAGCTGGGAAAGGGCCCTGAGTGTCAGGGCAGGGGAGAGCCCAGGGTGGCCCTGGGAGCCCTGGGGCTGTGACCAAGTGCAGTGGGCAAAGGAAGGGGCACTGGAGAGCTGGGCAAACAGCTGGAGGAGTTGCAAGGAGAACCAGGAGACTGGAATCCAGGAGCAGCAGCTCCCTGTGTGTGTGTGTAGAACCAGCTGTACTGCAGCCCTGAGTGAGGTGGGAAATGAACCTCAGGAGGCTGGGAACGAGTCCCACAAACTGGTTAAAGTGGGATGGACTCTTCCCAAGTGTCTGAAAAGCTTTTCTTTAGTGTTGCTTTTATCAATTGAGAAGTGAAGTGATTGTCGAGGTGTTGGCACTTGTTTTCCTGTGTCTTTGGTGAGGTGTTGACTCAATACCTTTATGGGAGCTGCTCTTGGATGAAGAGGTGCCCCCAGTTCACCTGGAAGGTCCTGGTTTTCTTCCCTGCTTCTCCCAGCTTGTCCAGGAGATGGAATTCCAGTGCTAGAGTCTAGATGGGTCGTGGTGGTCCCAAAAGGAGCCTTTGTGCCTTCAGGGTAAGTTGTGTTGCCACTGGAGCTGTTGGGAGAGGCGGAAGGTTGGCAGGGAGAGGCCTGGAATGATGTTGCTGTGGCAGAGAAGAAATGAGCAGTGATGGTCCAATTGGCTGTTTTCTCTGGAATGTGACTGTGAGAGCTGCAGGAGTGCCAGGTGTGTGTTCCAGTCCCCAGCATTTGGTTTGCACATGTCCTGCTCAGACCCAGGTCCAACTTCCTCAGTCCTTAACCCAAGAGAAGGAGAATTAAGGACTGGCAGTGTTAAGGTGACTGGTGTGACAGGGGTTAAACTGGGAAAACATTGGGCAAGTCCTCAGTTTCCCTATTTGCCAAACTCACCCAAACCTGTGCTAGGAAGAGATTGAGTGGAAAAGTTGAGGCAGAAATGAAATTAAAAACTGGGGATGTTGAAACTGTAATTGCTGGAACTAAATGTGTCAAAGCAGCAGCTCTTGTTGTGCAGGGAATAACTCCTGTCAGCAGCAAGGCCCCGACTGAAGTGGCAGCTGCAGCTGTTCCTGTGGTGTGGGCCAGTGGAACTGCAGGAGAGTGGAAGAGGGCAGAACCTGTAGGTATTACCCCTGGTGTGGGATCTCTCCTGGTAAGGCCAAGCCAGTATCCTTTAAAATCAGAATGCCAGCTTGGATTGGTTGCAGTAACAGCTAAATTTGCTCATCCTGGTTTGCTTGTAGAAGGTGAGTTCAAGAACCTGCCAAGAAACCAATGGCCAAGGGGATTGATTAGTGCAGGACCTGAGAGAACCCCTGAAATGACAACCTGGAGTGGTTTCCAGGATTAGATTGCAAAGATGGCCTTGGCTGCATGTCCTTGAGCAAGGAAAGCCAAGAAAGCTTTGCTTTTGCAGGAGAAACTGGGGCAAGCGGGCAGGAAGAAGAGAAGCCCCGTGACTCCTCCCTGAGCCCCAGCCAGCCCCTGAACTGCCTCCCTGGGAATGGTGGGACGGGCTGGACTCTGGATTGCTCCCTCTGCATGTGTGGTAAGACTGTTATGCCAACTTTTCCAACAGCCTGTAAGCATTTGCTGCCTTGGCTAGATGGTGCAAGGGCAGCCTTTAAGCAGCTGAAGCCTTCCCTGAGGAGAGCTCTGGGTGTGCCAGATGTGTCAGAACTGTTGGCAGCATCTTTGGTGGGGAGGGCAAAGAAAGGCCAAGGTGTGCAGTGACCCCCTGAGAAGGGACTTTGAGTTAATGGCATCCCTGCAAGTGAACTTTGTGGGCTGTTCCCCCTGTAGGGCAGGTGACAGTCGCAGCTACAGTGACTGGAAAAATGGTTAAAAGGGAGCCCCAAAAGCTGGAAATCCTCCTGGAGGCTCTTGGCAAAGAGAGTTTGCTGAGTTCCCCCTGACAGAAGGACAGTGACAGCTTTTGAGTGCTGGTAGATCCTTTGAATAGATAGCCTTGAGTGTGTCCTTGTTACCCCAGTAGGCCTTGTCCAACTCCCCATATTCCAGGAGATATACATATTGAAGTTTGAAATGCTCTTCCTAATCCTTTGTTGGCTTGAGGCTCTCCCCTCAGGAACTGCAGGAACTCCTGGTGCCGCCTGGGCCGATGGATTGGACGCCCCAGCCCCTCCGTTCCTGCCCAGCCCCTGGGGCCGTGTCCAGTGGTGGCACTGCCAGCCCTGCAGGGGAAGTGGGAAGGGCCTTTGCAGGTCTTGTGGATCACATTGATAGCAGGTAAAGTTGTAGAAAAAGGACATAGGTTATGTTCTCCTTGAGTTCAGAAAGCTCCTTTTGATTGGTGAGCAGAACCAAGTGGATCCTTCAGAGTTCCCATCTGTGTTTGTGTCTCAGCCTGTGTTAGGATTCAGGGCTGTCAGTTGTTGTCACTGAGGAGTCAAACCATGCTTTAATTATGAGACACTGGCCTAGTGGCCAAGTCTAAAAAAAAAGGTGGAATGATATGTGAGTGAGATGTAACAAGGGCTAATCCTTTTTGCAGTGGGATGTAGCCTGGAAAGTGCACAGAGCTGAGCCAAGGGATTGAAAGGGACCAAGCAAGGGAGGTGAAGAAAGAAGGAAGAAGGAACTGAGGCACGAGCCAAGCAGCACCAAGTTCCTGTGTAAGCAGGTGAGTTGTGTTGAGGTTCCTGAGGCAGGCCCTGAGGACTTTGAGGGTTCCAGACAGAGAAGACCTGGGAAGGCCCTCAGAAACTTTCTAAGGGTAGGTGTGTATGGTGATAAGTGTTGGAAAATGTCCTGAATGTGGAACAGGAATGCAGGTAAGGAAAATGAACCCTCCTGTAATGGTGACCCCTCCCATGAGCTGCAGTGGAGACCCCTCCGTGTGCCCTTTGGGAGCTGATTGCCAGGACACCCGGTGGGCTGGGATCATGGCAGGGTGTTGTAAGCAAGGAATGCCTGGCTTCTAAAACTCATAAATTGAGTCTTAAAATGCCTCTTTGAAGAGCTGATTTCAGGCAGCAGAATTGCCCCCCAGGAGGGACTCTGTGCCTGCTCTCCCGTGGCTCCAAGGGATCTCTGGCCCTTCACGCCGGCACCGAGATTTTCTCGGGAAGGGCCTCAGATCCCCGGACCAGTCTGGGACACAGGCAAGATCCCCCTGCAGTTTAGGACCAACTTGGCCCCTGGAGGGACAGTGCTGTGGGTGCCCCCCGGGTTGGGGCACCCCGAGGACTCCAGCGCGCACCGAAAGGATTCTTCGGGGAGATCCTCGGGGTGCCCGGCCCTGGGGAGCTCAAAGCAAGGTCCCTGCCATGGATTCAGGCATTGCTGAGAGTATCCCAGGGGTCCCTGTCCCTGCTAGACAGGGAGCTCTCTAATGGGCTGCAATTGGGTGATAAAAGTGGTGCTCCAAGTGCCAAAGAAGTGTGGGATTGGGATGAAGAAATGAGCAGGGAGGGTCCAATTGGCTGTTTCCTCTGGAATGTGACTGTGAGAGCTGCAGGAGTGCCAGGTGTGTGTTCCAGTCCCCAGCATTTGGTTTGCACCTGTCCTGCTCAGACACAGGTCCAACTTCCTCAGTCCTTAACCCAAGAGAGGGAGAACGAAGGACTGGCAGTGTTCAGGTGATTGGTGTGACAGGGGTCAAACTGGGAAAACATTGGGGAATTCCTGAGTTTGTCTGTTTGCCAAACTGACCCAAACCTGTGCTAGGAAGAGATGGGAAAAGTTGAGGCAGAAATGAAATTGAAAATGGGAATATTGACACTGTAATTGCTACAACTCAATGTGTCCAAGCAGCAGCTCTTGTTGTGCAGGGAATAACTCCTGTCAGCAGCAAGGCCCCGACTGAAGTGGCAGCTGCAGCTGTTTCTGTGGTGTGGGCCAGTGGAACTGCAGGAGAGTGGAAGAGGGCAGAACCTGTAGGTATTACCCCTGGTGTGGGATCTCTCCTGGTAAGGCCAAGCCAGTATCCTTTAAAATCAGAATGCCAGACTGGATTGGTTGCAGGAACAGCTGAATTTGCTCCTCCTGGTTTGCTTGTAGAAGGTGAATGCCAGAACCTGCCAAGGAAACCAATGGCCAAGGGGATTGATTAGTGCAGGACCTGAGAGAAGCCCCTGAAATGACAACCTGGAGTAGTTTCCAGGATTAGATTGCAAAGATGGCCTTTGCTGCATGTCCTTGAGCAAGGAAAGCCAAGAAACCTTTGCTTTTGCAGGAGAAAATCTGGACAGTGAGAAGGAAGCAAAGAAGCCCTGTGACTCCTCCCTGAGCCCCAGCCAGCCCCTGAACTGCCTCCCTGGGAATGGTGGGACGGGCTGGACTCTGGATTGCTCCCTCTGGATGTGTGGTAAGACTGTTATGGCAACTTTTCCAACAGCCTGTAAGAATTTCCTGCCTTGGCTAGATGGTGCAAGGGCAGCCTTTAAGCAGCTGAAGCCTTCCCTGAGGAGAGCTCTGGGTCTGCCAGATGTGTCAGAAGTGTTGGCAGCATCTTTGGGGGGGAGGGCAAAGAAAGGCCAAGGTGTGCAGTGACCCCCCTGAGAAGGGACTTTGAGTTAATGGCATCCCTGCAAGTGAACTCTGTGGGCTGTTCCCTCTGCAGGGCAGGTGACAGTCCCAGCTACAGGGATGGGAAAAATGGTTAAAAGAGAGTCCCAAAAGCTGGAAATCCTGCTGGAGGCTCTTGGCAAAGAGAGTTTGCTGAGTTCCCCCTGACAGAAGGACAGTGACAGCTTTTGAGTGCTGGTAGATCCTTTGAATAGATAGCCTTGAGTGTGTCCTTGTTGCACCAGTAGGCCTTGTCCACCTCCCCCTATTCCAGGAGATAGACGTATTAGAGTTTGAAATGCTCTTCCTAATCCTTTGTTGTCTTGAGGCTCTCCCCTCAGGAACTGCAGGAACTCCTGGTGCCGCCTGGGCCGATGGATTGGACGCCCCAGCCCCTCCGTTCCTGCCCAGCCCCTGGGGCCGTGTCCAGTGGTGGCACTGCCAGCCCTGCAGGGGAAGTGGGAAGGGCCTTTGCAGGTCCCGTGGATCACATTTATAGCAGGTAAAGTTGCAGAAAAAGGACCTGGGGTCTGTTATTCTTGAGTTCAGAAAGCTCCATTTGATTGGTGAGCAGAACCAAGTGGATCCTTCAGAGTTCCCATCTGTGTTTGTGTCTCAGCCTGTGTTAGGATTCAGGGCTGTCAGTTGTTGTCACTGAGGAGTCAAACTGTGCTTTTAATTATGAGACACTGGCCTGGTGGCCAAGTCTGAAGAAAAAAGGGGGAATGATATGTGAGTGTTGAGATGTAACAAGGGCTAATCCTTTTTGCAGTGGGATGTAGCCTGGAAAGTGCACAGAGCTGAGCCAAGGGATTGAAAGGGACCAAGCAAGGGAGGTGAAGAAAGAAGGAAGAAGGGAAGTGAGGCAGCAGCCAAGCAGCACCAGGTTCCTGTGTAAGCAGGTGAGTTGTGTTGAGGTTCCTGAGGCAGGCCCTGAGGACTTTGAGGGTTCCAGACAGAGAAGACCTGGGAAGCCCCTCAGTGAAGCCCCTCAGAAACCTGAAGCCCCTGGGCCTTTTTGTGAGCCTGAGCTATTGCAGCCCTGGGGATGGCTTTGGTTTTTTTCTCTCCTCAGAGTAAAACTGTACAGGGGAGTCTGTAATCTCCCTGATTTTTGTATCATAACTGGAACTTGGAAGAAAGTTGACCTTGTGTCATTTCCCAACTGACTTGGCCAGGTTGAACCAGCAGTGCCAGATTGTTGTGGTGTGCAGGGTATTGTTTGTGTCTGAGCAGTTTGGGGTTAATTTTCCAAGGGAGGCCATGGAATATTCTGGTGGTTTTTTCCCAATATTTGGAGGCAGTGCCCTGGATTAGTTGATTTCTGCCTCACTCCCTGATGTCTGAGTTTTGAGGTGTACCAAGAACTGGTAGTTTTTGCAGTGGGATGTTCCCTAGAAACTGCACAGAGCTGAGCCAAGGAAGTTAAAGGGACTGAGCAAGCAAAGTCAAGAAAGAAAGAAGAAGGGAACTGAGGCAGCAGCCAAGCAGCCCCAAATTCCTCCACAACCAAGTGAGTTGTGTTGAAGTTGCTAAGGTGGTCACTGAGAACTTTGGGGGCTGCAGGCACAGGTGACCACCAGAGACCCCCGATGGAGCCCCTCAGAGACCTTATAAGGGTTTGTGTTTATGGGAACAGGTGTTGGAAAATGTCCTGAATGTGGAACAGGAATGCAGGGAAGGAAAATGAACCCTCCTGTAATGCTGACCCCTCCCATCAGCTGCAGTGGAGACCCCTCCGTGTGCCCTTTGGGAGCGGATTGCCAGGACCCCCGTGGGGCTGGGATCATGGCAGGGTGTTGTAAGCAGGGAATGCCTGGCTTCTAAAAGTCCCCAGCTGAGTGTTAGAGGCTTCTTTGAAGAGCTGATTTCAGGCAGCCAATTGGCCCCCAGGAGGGACTCTGTGCCTGCTCTCCCGTGGCTCCAA